GGAGGTGAGGGGGGGAGAGGTGGGGGAGGGGAAGGTACACTAATCATTTTCGAATGCACCATCATCATCCTTTGCCCTGCCGACAGGCGTAGGTGATCATGGACCTCCACTTCACTCTGTCTTCGAATATAGACATGCATATAAAGAACTGTTTTACCTACCTATTTTATCTATTTATCTTACCTACCTACTTCTCTATATAACGTTTCTATCAACCGATCCTAGGGGCCTTTCTCACCTATCTACCTCACCTAACATTACCTATATTATATATCTTACTTGCCTATCTTGTTTACCTATCTTATTTACCTATCTTACCTACCTATCTTACCTATCTGCCTATCTAACCTACGCACCTACCTATCTCCTCATCTTATCTTACTTATCTACCTGCCTATATCTACACCTACTTACTAACCTTCAAAACTAGCTTGCTCGCTAGCTAGATAGCTTGCTACCTATCTACCTACCTACCTACCTACCTACCTACCTACATACCAACAGCATGTTCACTTTCGTCTGCCCGCGTTTAAAACGAGTAATCTCTCATTAAAAAATCTTCTCATGTTTTTGCTTGAGGCTGTAAGAGTTGGGTGACCAAAAGAATCTAAAAGCCCTTTAATGAAAGTCACTGTTGAATAAGGTTCCGACATAATTTAGGTTGATTTTAACCGAAAGCAGGAAAAAAATAACGAGGACTTACATCCCCTAAAACAAAAGAGTTTACCATTGTTCATCAACTCCACACTCTAAGCCTAAACCTAACCCTAACCCAAACCCTAACCCTAACCCTTACTCTAACCCTTACTCTAACCCTTACCCTAACCCCTTACCCTAACACCTAACACTAACACTAACCTCAACCCTAACCCTAACCCTAACCCTATCCCCAACCCTCACCCAAACCCTGACCCTGACCCTAACCCTAACCCTTACCCTCACCCTCACCCTTACCCTAATTCTAACCCTAACCCCAACCCCAACCCTAACCCAAACAGTAACCCTCACTTTAACTCTGCCCCTGACCCTCACCTTAACCCTAAACCCTAACCCAAACCCTTACCCTAACCATAATCTAACCCTAACCTAACCCTAACTCTAACTCTTACCCTAACCCTACCCTAACTCTAACCCTAACCGTCACCTTGATCTCACCCTCACCCTAAACCCTAACCCTAACCCTCACCCAAACTCTTACCCTAACCCTACCCTAACCCTAACCCTAGGCCAAACCCCTACCTTAACCCTAACCCTTACCCTAACCTTAACCCTCACCCTCTCTCTAAGCCTAACCCTTACCTTAATCCTAACCATAACACACCCTAACCCTAACTCTAACCCTAACCCTCACCATCACCCTAACCCTAACCCTTACCCTAACCGTTACCTTGATCACATCCTTGTTGCCGGAGCCCAGCCTGTGCCTAGGCTCCTTCACCAGCAACCTCTGACATAGGTCCAAAGTGCCGGGGTCGTCGAACGCCCAAGAGGGATACTTCACGTTTAGTTTGGTTACTGACTGAAACCTGAGGAAAATGGGAGGATGATAACCTCGAGCTAAGCAACCGGTAAAGCTCAGAATGATAAAGATAATACATTTAATGATAATGGTAACAATAATAAAAATAAATAATATCAATGAAAATGACAAAAACAAAAACAACAACAACATCAACAATAATAATAATAATTAT